AAGCTGGTCTCATTTATTCCTATAGCAGACTGAGGCGAATGTTCCTCCAAGATGGGTGGGCACTGGGGGAGAGGAAAAGGGAGCCCTAGGAGGAAGAGGAGGAGGAGGAGGAGGAGGAGGAAGAGGAAAGGAGGAGGAGGAGGAGGAGGAGGAAGAGGAGGAGGAGGAGGAGGAGGAGGAGGAAGACGGCAAACTCTTATTTGAGCTGATTGAGTCTTTCCTGACCTGGACCCTGTTTACCCTCCAGCCCCATGCTCCCACACCCCTCAAATCCAGTCTATGTACTACACCTGCTGAGCATTTCCCAGTTCCTAAATGCCCCCAGACCTTGTGCACAGCATCCCCTCTGCCATTCCCTATAGTGTCTTCCCAACCAGCTGGTAGATGTTTCCTTTCCTTTAAGACTCAGATGAAACTTTTAAACAGTGCTGGCAAATTCTCACCTTCTGCCCTGCATAGAGTTGGGCACTCTTTTCTCTGTGCCCCTCTGAACCCTATACAGATATCTGTCTTAGTACTTGTAGCAGTCTATGGTTTTCTTTTTCCATGATGGTCTGGCTTCTTGGAGGCAGGAACCATTTCTCATTTGTCTTTGTAGGCATCTTTTGTACCTAGTGATGTCTGGCACCAAGAAAGTGTGTGAAGTATGTATTTAGAGTGGATAGAGATGAGTGAATGGTATCATACAGGCAGAAGTGCCTCTGGAGGCCCTATTTGGCATTATGATTATATAGCTGAATGTTCTAGCATTTTTTTAAAAAAATAATCACTTGCTCATAGAAAAGACAGGAGCCTCTAAAGCTTCTTATTTCTAGGTCATTTTGTAACCCAAAATTTAAAATAGAACTGTTGATGTGAAAAGGAAATTGAAAGTAGTGAAGTATAAGCCTCTTCTCCCACCCACCTTAATCTGCATATCAAGGGGCAAACAAGTGGGTAGGACTTTACTTCTCAATCTAATGGGGACAGTGTCCCTGTGTCCTGATGTGAGGTGGAGTCTGGCCTTCTCCCTCTGCTTCCTGACCTAGCTGCTGCTACTTGGCACAGAACTGAAGGGGTTCCCAGCTCTTTTCTGGAGTACTGAGACCTCTTATTGCTTTTCCCCTTTCCCAAGCCTTGATTCCAGAAATCCCTAGACCTGAGCTCCTGGGCGGGAATCAGCTGGTGATCATTGTGGGGATTGTCTGTGCCACTCTCCTGCTGTTCCCTGTTTTGATATTGATTGTGAAGAGGACCCACTGGAATAAGAGGTACAGGGCTTTTCCTCTTGGGTTGGGAGGCTGGGGATGCAGGACTGCCTCTAACTCAATATGGAAATGAAGTGATAGGACCCAACCTGTGCCATTCTCAAAGGAGTAGGTATTTTCATAGAATCAAATGATTGTTACATTAGATTTCATCATAGATGGCTCTATTCCTTTGCTCACCTGAAAAGATTTGGACATCTACATCATCCTCACTGGTGTTATACAGAGGTTACAAACTCCCTTACAAATGGAGGTCTAAGTGGAGCATAATTTCGAACATAAATCTTGGCTGGGGTTATGGCTCAGTGGTAGAGCACTTGCCTACCATGCCGGATTCCATCCTTAGCACTACAAAGAAAAAAAATGCATATAAATCTGTGCAAGAACTGTATCATTCACTATTTGAGAAGAAGGATTCTTATATTATCCCCACTATACACTTCATATTGAAGTTTAGATCTTGAGYGTTGCCAATGGTATTATTTAAAGAACTATATTCTAATTCTGAGAGGTTGTTTTTGAATGGATGACCCTAGATTCTAAATAAATTATTGTCAAATGTGTTTTTAAAGGCCTGAATTTTTATCAGAAATACCCACATGCTCTACTGTGGATGCTAGAGTTTCATTGACTGTAGGCAGGTTTGTGTCCCCCAGTTTACCCAACTGGAATATGTTGGTAGGACAAGTTTATTCTCTTGTTGAAATCATATCAGTGAGAAAGGGCCCTGCAAAGACCAARTAATGCTGACTTTTTAAAAAAAGTTTAATACTGGAATCAAACCAAGAACCTGGCACATGCTAGGCAAGTGTGCTACCACCAGACCCATAATGCTGACTTTTGAGTGACCTTTCCCAGTAGAATTTGGATTCTACAGAAATTACATGTGCCTGCTAAGTTTGCAATCCCCAGGTCTCTCTGGTTTGGCTTGGAACTTGGTTGACCTCTCTTTCCTCTGGGTAGCTGGGAACATAGAACCAAGAGCTACATGTGGGTTTCACTATCAGCTTAATTCACCCTCATCAGTTTCCCTCAAGATGAAGGGCAGTATTTCTCTGTCTAGTAGTTTATTTTAATGAAATATTAAAACTGATCTGCTGAGATTTGTGCATAAATATGAGTGCTACAGCTGGGTGCAGTAGCACATATGTGTAATTCCAGTGGCTCTGGAGGCTGAGGTAGGAGGACCACAAGTTCAAGGTGCCTCAGCAAATTATCGAGGCCCTAAGCAACATAGACTCTGTCTCAAAATAAAAAATGAAAAAGAAAAAGGCTGGGGATGTGCCTCAGAGGTTAAGCACCCCTGGATTTAATCCCCAGTACCAGAAAAAAAAATTGTCTAGTTAACCAGTGTTTTTCCAAACTTAGGCTATAGTGGCATCTGTTTAAAGGACAGAAAACATCTAAGAGTTTAGGCACAAGACAAATATTTATAGACTGACATTTTTAGTTTTCATTGTCTGGACTGCAGATATTATTT